ACCAGGGAAGTCCTAGTTTATATATATATACACACTGTGTGTGTGTATGTACACACGTGTGTGTGTGTGTGTATGCTTTTGCTTGTAAGTGGTCATGAAAATGCAAAAGCCACCAGGACAACTGACTTTGATAAGTAGTGAATGGAGGGATTGGGCAGAGTACAGAAACCAACAATCTTATATGAGTGGTTCTCTGTTTCCAGTATTGATCTGTTAATGCAACCAGTTAATCATGACATTTATTATTCTTCTGGGTTGCCCCAGCTTTCTGTGATGCCCTCTCTAAATTTCTGGGGACTGGCAGTTTTTACCTTTTTTTTAAATCTTCTTTTACCCTTACAATGTATGGGATTCTTTTGGTCCCTCTCTGCTTCACCTCCTCACCTCTTCCTGTTTTTTTTTTCTGGAAGATTTCATCTGTTAAAGAGGTTTCCTATCATCGACTTGGAATGTGCGTTCTGACTGTGCCTGACAGCAAAGGTCTTTGATGTTTGTCCAAGGCTGAATTCTCACCAGATTCCCTGGTTTAGGTGTTTTTCCCCCAGCACACAGGGGCCTGCCTATAAGGTGAATTTGCCTTGTATCATTGATATGAAGGGTTGGTGGGGCCTGCTCTTTCTCGTGATCTGATGGGCAGTTAAATTGCTGGACTCTGTCTGTAGTTGTTGATGCCTTTACCAGAGAGTTCCTGCGTGTGTTCAAGAAAAGGCCGAGATCTCTTATGTTTGAAAGATGGGACTCGAGAAGCTCACCCCTTCCCATGGAGATTTCCATAAGGATAATAAGGTTGTGCTCAAGAGGCTCAGCCTCTCTTCCTCCGTCATGGTATCGGGATTCTACCTTAATCTCTCCATCATCCTGCCAGCCATGTCTCATTTCTCACACTGGAACACTCCCTCCTCCCAAGCTCAGCGTGAACCACCAGTCTAGATGCTTTATCTGGTCCAGGCTCTAGCCCTTAAATTGTCCGTCTGGCTTTGTGTTTCATTTGACCCTAATACACTGGGTCGCACTGTCTAAAAGAGAATTATGTCCCCTCCGATGTCTGAGTGCATTTCTCATTTCTTACTGCTGCTCCTGAGCAGATCTGTAACTTCAAGGTTAAGATAAGACACATTCCATCAGAACTATGTCGTCATCCTTGCCAGCTTCTGATCTGTGACTGTCCAGGAGATTTACAAGACAATTGCATGCCATTCTTTACAGAATATTATGATTGGACTCTGACTCCTGGCATCAGGCCCAATTTGATTTGTCAGCTGTTGCAAAACCCATTTCCCAAAGAGAAAAGGATCTTAGCCATGTGCCTTTTAGCCAGTTGTTAAGAGTGGGAAAGAGGGAATTGATCTGGTTCTTTATTCCCTGATATTTTAAGGAGAAAGATGGACACCAGAATGTTTTTGTTCCTTTCCTCATTGGATTCCCTTGTTTTCCTAAAAGGTTTCACTAAAATCTTAGTATTGCTGTCATTCGTTCCTCTCCCTTATCCCTTCACAGAACTGCTGTTTTTTCATTCTGCAATCTCCAATGTTTCCCTGAGTTTTAAGGAGTAAGAATTTTGCCCTTGAGAGAAAAGGTTGCCTGCCTTTTCTCTGAAAGTTTATTAGTTTACCAGCACCAGGTTAACAAAGACAAGGTTCCTCCTTTCTTGCTCTCTAACATGTTGAACTGCGGGAGTTACTGCATGTGATATGGCTTAATGGCTTAGGAATTTGGAAGGTCACGTATTTCCTGCTGCTGTTGTATTAGGCCCTGTAATATTTTATAAAAGCTTCTCTTGAGGGACTTACCAGCCTGTGGTTTCACCATAAACTCACCCTTTCCCTTGGAGGTAGGCAGTGGGGATTTATTTGACCCCCTTTAGTGATTCTGGGGTTAGACCTAAAATTTATTTACTCAGGATCACACATGGCAAGTTAATCACAGAATCACAACTCTGATCTAATTCCTTTGGCATTGTTTTCATATCGCTTAACTACAAAAAGTTTTAAAAAGTTAGGAAGAGTCGAGAAAGGCAGATTTTACTCAGATTTCCTGATGAGTCTATTCAAAGTTGAAGAAATTCTCATAGTTGAAAACTGTCCATTGTGCTCTCATACCCTACAGTTTCTTCTGTTTGATAGGCAGAATCACCATTCTTTTTTTTCTCCCCCTCAGTCGGGTTCTTTGCTTTTGATTGTCCCTTATTCATACTCTCTTGTGGCAGCAGCCTTTGTCTCTAAAAGACTCATATCTGTAAAGAAGAGAGCAGAGTTGTGGAGCTCTCTAAAATGTTCTTTAAGGCCAGCAGAAAGGAACATTCATGGGTCTGCAAGTCTCTTAAGTCTCTCTTCTTTATCTTAGTCCCTCCTTTTGTCAAGTATTAGGAATTTTTAATACACGAGGTTTTAATTATTATATTGTATAATTAATGTTCCAAGTGGGTAATTATTTAAAAATTTGTTTTATAATATTACAAAAACAACTGAGAAGTGGTTTTCAATTAACAGCAATGGTTGTGACTGGGCTGTTCCTTCCCCTTCTGTTTTTAAAAACTACTGGAGAATTAAATTGTTTTCTATCTATAATTTTAGTCGAAAGATTCTTCGGTCGTGCTTCAAGTCCCTAGATTCTGTTTTTGAATCTAGTGATCCCCCCAAGAAGGAAAGTTGTATAGTATCTTTGAAATACTTCTCTTCTCCCTTTCTTGTTACTCCCTGCACCTGCCCCCTCCCAATTTTAATTAACTGTTCAGTGACAGATGGTAGAAAAGGCCTTGCCTAAAGTGTTCCTGGTGGGCTGGATTAAGGGGTCGGTAGTTTGTCCTGATCGTGTTGTAGAAGGATCTAGCCTTTCCCCGCCCCCGCTTCCAGTAGAGCGATAATCCTGTTAGATCTTAAAATGCTATTGATTAAATTCCCAGTGCTCTTAGAGAAACAAGCACAAATTCTGGATTTAAAAACCCAAGAGCCAATTCCCTGGAGCTCTGAATGCCTTAGACTTGAGGCCAAGGGAGGTACCTTCCAACTTCTCCACCCAGCCTTCTCTGAAAAGGAAAGTTAAGCCTTTTAACTTTTCCGTTTGCTTCTCACCCCCCTTAGTCTAGTACGGCTGCCAGTTGCCATGGCAACGGACTGGGACAGCTGCGCAGTGGCGCCTAGGCAGCTGGGTGGGGGCGGGGGAGCTGCCAGCCCGCCAAGCCCCAGACCTGGGAGGGGAGGCCCCTCCTGTTAGCCCAGAGGGAAAGAAAGAACTGGGGCGATCCGGTAGGTAAAGGAGGGAACCCCCATTCATCTTCTGCCTTTGGGGCTCCTCTTCTGCATGAAGGTATAAAGGGAGATTTCCCTCTTTCCTCCCTGAAACTGAAGAACACATATGTAAATCCTTGTTTTTCCTCGTGAGGCAGGGGAGGCCATAGTCACAATGCTTAACTGCATGCGTCTAACCCGGGGCTGGTTTTAACCCTGGCGCTCAGACCTAAACTGCTCAGCTCCCGGAAATTCCAAGGTGAGTGGGGGTGGGGTGGGGTATTCTCCCTGGAATTTGACGTTTCCTGTCTCTGGTGAGGTTGGAGGCTGCTTTTATTTTAAATAAATCAGATTTTTTTTTTTCCCCTTGAACCTAAAGGACTTTCATCTGAATTCGTGGAAAAATTATTGTGAAACTCCTTACCTTACATTCCCCCCACTCCTACTCCCTCATCCAAATGAAGTATTTTGATAAAAACATACAGTTTTTTTGGGTGGGCAGACCTATTGCTAGTAAGTTCTGGAGGTATGATTTACAACTATATATTCTTGGAATAATTCCCTAAATTATGCTAGTTTGAAGTAAATTGATTAATGCAACTTTTTATGGTACACAAAGACAAAATTCTGAGATTAGTAGTGACCTTTCCTACTCCTGGGGTGGTCATCTGATCAGAAAGAAAATGTTTTTAGAATGCTGAAAAAAAAAGCTTTAAGGTTTACAGCAAGATAAAAATGGAGTTCAGCTAAGAAAACAATCCCTGCTACTCTGTAATCCAGACTCTAGGCACCATTTAACATGGTTAAGGAAGAATTCTTAAAAATGATTGTGGTGACAACAAGGAGGGAATTTAAAACACTAGAGTCTCTGCTGCGTACCCCCTGGTTGTGCATATTTCTGAGCTTAACTCAATTTCCATTTGTGTTGCCTTACTTCAGCTTTCCTTGGGTCTATGAATGGTTCTTCTGTGTTTTGAGGCTTCATGTTGATGTGAGTCTGCGACCAGACCTCTTTTTTCCTCCTCCTCTTCCTTTGGCCCAAAGTCAGCTCCAGTTAAGAGGAGAGATACCTCCTTAATATTTGGATTAGTTGAGTCTTAATTACTGAACAGCCCAATGACTAGTTTTGATTTTTAGGACTGAAAAATATTTTTCTCCTCCCCGCCTCCCTCTTATCCCCAAATGAAAGATGAGGCTTAATATATTTGAGGTGTCAGCCTTGCTTTTGTGAGCTGATGGATGCTCTGAAGGGACAAGCTCAATTTGTTGAAGGGAAATGTACCGAGTCACTGAAAATGTGGTGAAACATGCCCGAGCAGGCCTTTTTTGTTCTGCTGAGAGACTGTTCAGAATGCTCAGAGCAGAGGAAAGTTATATTTTGGTGGCTTTTCTTTTTTTCCCATTTTTGTAAAAAATCTTATTTAAACGGAAGGTTTTCCATATTTCTCTTCCGGTTTATGACTTGTAGACAGTTGTAGAGGTACCAGGAGTAAAATAACCACACACTACTTGTTCTATGGAATCTGAAATTAGAGTTAGATAATTGTGCCCATCTAATAATTTTGATCTTGTGAGCTGATGAGAAAGTTGTAATTAAGAAAGTGGGGATCTGTCCATTTTTGGTTAAATTCTTAGGACTCATCTGTAGAATGTTTCAGGACCCAAGAGAAGGGTATATGGCAGCTGTGTTATACCCGCTGCGTCCCATCAGGAAGAGTGAACGTTGTAACTGCTCACATGAATTCTGACCATTTTTGTCCCTCCCGTTTGCAGGAACCCGGTGGCCTTACTCCTTCAGGGGCGTCAGCGTGAGACATGGGGAAGAAAACCAAGCGGACAGCTGACAGCTCTTCCTCAGAAGACGAGGAGGAGTACGTCGTGGAGAAGGTGCTAGACAGGCGTGTGGTCAAGGGGCAAGTGGAATATCTACTGAAGTGGAAAGGCTTTTCTGAGTAAGTACTTTCTCAGACAGGTAGACAGCTTTGGTTCATTTCCCTGGGAACCATCACCATCTTTGTCTTATTCTTTCCTCGCCTGCACTCCTTTCTAAGAGTCACAAGACACAGCAGTAAACTAAGCAAGGTCTCCCCTTCTTGGAGCTGGTGTTCTAATGAGACTGCTTTTGAGAGGCAGTGTAATGAACTGGTTAGAAGCATAGATTAGGGGCCAGATTGCCTGAGTCCAGATTCTTGCTCCCACCACTTACAGTATGAGCTGGTTGACCTTGGTGAAGTTCCTTAATCTTCTTTCCTCAATAAAATAGGGATAAGAAATAGTATATATCATAGAGATGTTGGGGAAATGTATAGAGTCAGACACATAAGGTCAGTGTAAGTGTAAACTGTTATTGTTATTATTCTTTTGGATGTAACTAAATTAAAATACATACATTTAAGTAGAAGAAGTTGTAGTTGATCCCATAGCGCTCCATAATGACCCTTGGCTCTCAAAAGTGTTCTAGGATGAAACACTCATCTTTGTTATTTTTTTAACACTCATCCTAATAAGAGACTTAAATCTGAGACCCAGTATTTATTTTTAAAAATTTAAAATATATGTATAACTGACGCAAAAGAAATTGAGTGAACACTCAGATACATACCACCTGATTTCTACAATAACACTTTAATATAATCTTTGTTCCTCTGTCTTTTTTACTATTATTTATTTTAAAGACCTTAAAACCCCTCTTACATCAGTGAGCTCTAAGAATGATGCTGAAGTTCTGAGTATTCAGAGTTAGGCAGTAACTGGCTTTAAGTGCTGAAGTAAATATACACATACTGAAGCACAGAAGAGGTAGCTTGAAAAGTGAATTACACGAAGCTGTGTAATCATTAGGCATTTTGCCTTAATTTCTCAGTTCTCTTCCCAGAATGCCTGACAACAAAGAATGGATTTCTCTGAACACCAGTGAGCTGATAGGAACTGGTTTAGGTTCCTAGGAGTGTTCAGCAGAAATGGAATGCAAGCCAGATGTATTAAATTTTATGGTGGCTACATTAAGGAAAAGTGGAATGAATTTTAATAATATCTTTTATTAGACACTCCCATCAAAATGCTATTTAAAAATTAATACAAAAATTATTAATGAAATTTTATATTTTCATGCTAAGAATTTAAAATCTGTTGTATATTTTTCATTTTATAGCACATCTCAGTTCATACTAGCCACATTTCAAAGGTTCACTTACCATATGTGGCTAGTAGCTACCTTATTGAACATCACAACTTTAAAGTGTGAGACTTGAATAAAAGATTGAATGCTTTGTCAGTACCTTTGGACAAAGGTATGATCAGGAGCCTTTGGAATATAGTTAAGGTTATTATGGGAATCAAGTTTCTCATCTGGAGCATTGTTGGTGTTTTAGGTGGGACAGTTCCATGTACTGCAGGGTGCTTAGCATTTGTAGCACATAGAGAACTAAATGTGGGTAGCACAGCAGTCAGAATATGCCCTCCATATTTCTAAAGAAGCATGGTATCACAACATCCTCTAGAGATGAGCACTATGAATTTGAGAGGCCTAGCGGATCATGAGATAGGAATTAAAATACACCTGAAGGGGGCTTCCCTGGTGGTCCAGTGGTTAAGAATCTGCCTGGCAATGGAGGGGACACTGGTTTGATCCCTGGTCCAGGAAGATCCTACTTGCTTCAGAGCAGCTAAGCCCTGTGTGCCTCAGTTACTGAGCCGGCACTCTGGAGCCTGTGCCCTGCAGCAGGAGAAGCCAGCACAATGAGAAACCTGGACACCACAACGAAGAGTAGCCCCTGCTTGCTGCACCTAGAGAAAGCTTGAGTGTAACAGTGAAGAACCACCACAGGCGAAAATAAATCTTTAAAACCAAAAATACACCTGAAGACTCTAAGGGTGTTTATTTGGCCCATTGAATCATCACTGGAAATTGTTGGGTGTTCTGAAGAATTTGAAGACTGTGTAGTTGAGCTATTGGTACCTTACGTAGATAAAAGAGGTAAAGAAAATATTTAGGGTAGATGGATTAACATTTGTCTTGAGTTTTTCAAAAGTATCCGGAGTCTCATTAAAGACTGAGACAGATTGTGCCCCTTCAACATTGTCCTACCTATTGTTTGCTAGGCAGTGGTTATATCCTACCTCATGTGTTCTCTGTAATTCTCCTAACAGCCTTTAGAGGTATTTTGAGTTTACAGATGAGGAAATTAATTGTTTACCAGAGATAACATACCTGCTACATGCTAAAACAAGGATCCAGCATCACATTTCTTTGGTGCTAAAATCCAGATTCTTTGTAAGTTATACCATGCTGCCTTTTGGGTGAAAATTGATTGCTGTGGAAACAATACCAACTTGGCTGGGAAAGGGATAATCCCGTTAGAAGGCTGGCTTTCCTTGGTGGCAACAGAGACTCTCCTACCTCCGCATCTTAGCTTGCTTACTATACTACAGGGTTGGCATGCCTCTTGGTGCCTTCATTCTCCTGGGATTGTAAACTATATATAATCTGTGAATTTAGGAGAAAGTTATTGTATGAGGGTGTGTTTTTTTTTTTTTTTGGCTGAAAGAAGAGCTATGAGGGAGAGGCTTTCCAATTTTAGCTCAAATGATTTAGAAATAAACTTTGTTTCATTCTTAAGCTCTTTTTGCAGAAAGCTGAAGTCTAGAGTATACCTCAGATTTTTCCATCATTCTTTTTTTTATTTTTTCCATCATTCTTATTGTTATAGCATGTGTTCAAACCATTCTCATTTAAAGATACTTCATTGTTTTTTTTAATAAAGTATCTAAAATAAATAGTGCGTAAATGTAAAAAATATTTCCTAAGTCAGTGAAGGGATTATAGAAACTGTCTGTGATATGTGTATAGATATATCTTAATGTATCTGGTTCTTAATGAAAGAACCTCTGCCACTGGCTAGGAGTGAAGAAGATGCCTGGTTTGGTTTTTCCCAAAGAAGATACATTTCTTGCTTTGATTCCATAGCCTGCTATTGGTATTGGTGATTTGCATTTCTAAAATCCATGCTGGGAATACAGAGAACAAGTTTGTGAATGCAAACTTTGTTTTCCTCATAGAAGGACTCCCCTTGATCCAGGTTTAATTAGACACAGCTATTTAACTTAAATTATTTTTGCTTATTAATGTAGAAATGCATTTTGATTACCTAGAGACAGTAGACTTGAATCCATAGCATTGAATTAATGTGCTCCAAATACCAATTTTGAGTCTTTTCCTTCTTATGGTTCGCCTAAATTCTAATGATTTTAACCCTTACTGCCTTTTTTTCTAATTAACTATTTCAGTCTTCCAACAATTTGTTGGCATTTCTTTGAAATATAAGTAACATAATTAAGACAGTGTAAACTGGAATGCATTTAGAATTAGATTGTCCTCTCTTCAGGATTTGCATAGATGATGTATGAGATCACATTTGCCACTTACAAAGCAGAACTTACATTTGAGTGTTTAACAGGTTTATTGAGATGCAGTTTACATACCATAAAATTCGTCTATTGAAGTATACAATTCAGTGATTCGTGGTAAATTTTTAGTTGTGCAACCATCAGCATAGTCCAGTTTTAGAACATTTCCATAACCTCCCCAAATTCCCTTGGATATGTTTGTATTTAATTGCAAGCCGTAGCGGCAAGGAACTACTGATCAGCTTTCTGTTTTTCAATGTCTTTCCTAGACATTTCGTATAAATGGAATCAGACAGTGTATGGTGTTTTGCATCTGTTTTGTTTTAATTTAGCACAGCCTTGAAGTTCTTCCATGTTGTAGCATATATTTTAGTATTATGTTCCTTTTTTGTTGCTGAATAGTATTTCATTGTATGGATATACCATATTATGTTTATCTGTTCACCAATTGGTAGGCATTTGAATTGTTTTCTGTCTTTGACTACTAAAATGCTGCTATAATTGTGTGCAAGTTTTTGTGTGTGTGTGGATATATTGGATAGATTTCTAGAATCAAATTTATTATCTCCTTTAAGCATAGGGATTCTATTCCTTTTTTCCTATTTGTCTTCTGTAAAGTAAGGTATTGGATTCCCTCCTACCCCAAAACTTCTTCATTTCTTTCCTTTTTTCTCCATTCTTCTTGCCCAGGGAGCACAATACTTGGGAACCTGAGAAAAACTTGGATTGCCCTGAGCTGATTTCTGAGTTTATGAAAAAGTATAAGAAGATGAAGGAGGGTGAAAATAACAAACCCAGGGAGAAGTCAGAAAGTAACAAGAGGAAATCCAATTTCTCAAACAGTGCTGATGATATCAAATCCAAAAAAAAGAGAGAGGTAAGCTTTATTTCTCCTCTCCTCCCCCACCCCCCCAACTCTTCTGCTTCCCGTGCTTCCTCCTCACTCCACCCAAAAAAAGGGGACACTGTTTTGTTTGTTTTTATTCTAAGGATGGCCTGTAAGAAAGAGCTTTTGGGGAGTTTTGTTGATCCACTACAGCGCCCCCTCCTGGCTGAGTAAGGAATGTAATATGTGTCTGCTGAATTGTGTTAAAGTGACAAAATTAAATCCCTGTAAAACATTCAGCCACTCTGTGCCTTTTTCATGCATAGGTGGCTGAGTTGTCTTACGGAGAGTCTTGTGAATTTTTTAGGGGTAGGAAGAAGCTTTAAAATATCTACCACTTTTTTCTTTTATTCCAAAGATAGCACTTAACTTTAACCCTTTGTATTCTTTCTTTTTTAATTCAGGTGAAATCACATAACATACAATTAACCATTTTATTTTATTTTTAAATTATTTATTTATGGCCACAACAACACATATGGGATCTTAATTCCCTGACCAGAACCAAACCCACGCCCCCTGCATTGGAAGTGCATAGTCTTAACCACTGGCCCGTCAGGGAAGTCCCCAATTAACTGTTTTAAAGTGAACAGTTTAGTGGCATGTTTAGTCTCTTTTGATCCTATTGTATTTTTACATACTTCAAATAAATTAATTTTCATCTTCCTTTTGAATCTTTATTGTTCAGTTTTGAAAATGTGTTTATGAAATTTTGGTTTGATTCAGTTATTTTAATCCTTCTGATATTTAGCTCTTAAGTAGCCATAAGCACTGTTACTGTCTTTTTTTTTCTCGTCTATGTCTTTTCCATCTGTGCACATGTGTCTCCACCCCCACCCCCACCCCCACAGCTTCCATTACTTTCATTAATTTCAAGGTTGTGAAGTCTTTTGTGGTAAAAGATATATCATACCCTTAAAGTTTAATACAATAAAAGTGTAGGTCTGCTTCTGAATCTTCTAGCGTCCCTGCCATAAGCGTCCATATTTATCTTCATTCTCCTTGGATACCCGTCTTGCTAGAGCATTAGTTCTCAGCCCTGGCTGCATATTAGACTCATGGCAGGAGGGCAGGTGGGTGTTTCAAAAGCCTCCTGTGCCCAAGATGCACTCCAGACCAATAAAATTCAAATTTCTGTGGGTTGGACCTATGCATTAGTATTTTCTAGAGACTTACACAGGTGATTCCTGGTCTCCAGAGGAGAGAAAGTGGGAGAACAGCTTTCCAAAAAGAATTGAAATAAGAGTGAAAGATTGGAGGCTGTCAGTGAAAGTGGACTCTAGTATTTTGTTTGTTTCCCTGATTGGTTTTATTTTTTCAGTCTTATTTAAAACTGCCCTATTCTGGTGAGGTGTGTATATCATTATGATATCGCGTACTAGTAAATAATTTGAAAATGCCTTCCCTTCTCTAAGGAGCTAAGACTTGGCTCTATCTTTCTTTTTACTTTTTTATTAGTCCTTTGTATTCTGGTTTTTGTCATTTGATGCATATTCTAGCTAAGTAAGGAGACCAAGAAACAACACAGCATGACTTCTGTAGCCATTTTTGACATATAGTGTGTATTTCCTCAACCTAAGGTTTCTATTCTTTTAAAAAGGAGTAGTCTGGGGGAGGGGGCAAGAAAAAAAAAGGAGCAATCTGACTTTGAGACACTGGCCAGTGCAGTTTCCTTCCTAGGCCAGGTTTTGATGCTGCTGACCTTGAAAACCACCCCCCAACACCCATGTCCTTACATTATAATGTTCACCTGGGGCCCCTGGCAGCATTCTCAGCAGTGCTGATGGCTGTCATGTAGGCAGCTGGGAAGATAGGTGATTGTATATTTTAAAGGTGCAGGAGGGGATTTCATTTCTTTCTTTAGACCACTGCGGAAGAAATTTGTTAGTCGGCATTATGCCTGATTTAAGATTACTGCCTGTGTGATGATTTTAGCATTTTCCTCGCCTCGGCTCCTTTTCAGCAGCTTGAACATTTTTCTTCTCTTCCCTCCCGATGTGGCGAACTGTTTTCAGCCGCCAGCTATGATTTACGACTTGGTTGCTGTGCCAGCATTCCAGCTGTGAGCAGCTGTGTGCACATCTGGGAACCTCCTCCCTTTAAGCGCCCCAAAAGAGGCTATGCTTTTGAGCCTGTATGTCCCCTGATTCATGCATGGGATTTCCTGCTCTGTACGGGTCCTGGTATCTTTGGGACCACCTGGATACTGAAGGCTTTGTATCTCTCAGAAGAAAGCAAGATGAATGGCAGATCAGAGATTTTATCATGAAAATCAGACATTGGCGATTTAGTTCATTTGGGCAGTCTTTCTAAGTCTTTTTTGTGTTACCATTAGATAAGCTGGCATTATCTTCCATAGTAAGGTTGTTTAAATTACCTGGTTTGTATAAAATTTCACCATTTTGCTCTCACCAGTGCCGTCACACCTGAATCAAATCCTGTGCTCCTTATCTAGATTGCATGACTGCAATTTGACCAAGTTTGAATAATCCCCTACAGAATTTTTTTGCTTTAAATCCCTCTCCAGTTTACTCTATAAAGCTAACAACCTATCTCCATCAGGAGGGGACAGGCACAGATCAGGGCCTCTTCCCTAGTGCATGGGAATTATAGTATGTGATCTCTGAAAGAAATTTGCTGTTTTACAGTAGTTCTTTGAATCCCTTCTTAATCACTGTTCATTTGTAAGTACAGATGGCTATGCGAAAAGAAGTATTAAAAATACTGGTCAGTGTTAGATGAACTGAAAGTCCAGAAAACAAAGATTGAGAGGTGGTATACTTGAAGTTTATAGAATGAAAAAGGATTTAGTTTACCTGGACTTGTTTATCATCTGAGAAGCAAGTTTAAGGATATTTTAGGGGATGAGAGGAGTTCCTAGATGATGACTCCAGAATATTTAAGGGATATTAAGCAGTTTTAGGGGCCACTCCCAATCCTTTGATGGAATACTAGAAGGACAGCTGCATCTTCATGCAAAATAGCTCTTAGCATCTCTGTTACTGGGTGACCTAGTATTGTATTTCTGAAGTTCTAAGAACTTTATGAATTGAGTGACAAAAATGGTATCCAGTAATATTAACTTAGGTTGTGCTTTGTTGAGCTGAGAAACAGGGAGGTTTTTTACTCTTAGCTCCAAGCTATAACCTTTCTTTATCTTCTGTTTATAGCAGAGCAATGATATCGCTCGGGGCTTTGAGAGAGGACTGGAACCAGAAAAGATCATCGGGGCGACAGATTCCTGTGGTGACTTAATGTTCCTAATGAAATGGTGAGAGAGATTGGGCCTCCCTCTGCAATTGTTTCTTTACGGTGACTTGAATTCGTGTGGAAGACTGAGTATTCTCCAGCTAAGAATTCTGATCGTCAGGGATCTAAATTTTTAACTGATATCCGCTGTCAGTGTTAAATGGGAATTATGGTTCAGAGTGGATTTAAGATTGTAAAACTTTGGTATTAAGCCAAATTACATTAGCCCACATACCAGAAAATGGTAGGATTGAGGTAGGAAACATATAAACATGACCTAACCATTTATTTACACAGTTCTGAATCATTTACCGTTACACCATGAGCCTGTGGCCATGGGACAGAAATTGAGTGAGGCTTTCTGCCACCACTGAAGACCAAGACCGCTGAATAATGTGTAAAAGAGAAAAAGTAATCTTAACAAAAGCATTAAGGATAATAGTAGCCAAAGCACAAGTTATTTCATCCGGTGGAGGGAATAGCTCTTAGAGGAAAGTGTAGTTACTTCCCCTCAGCTTGGTTTCTTAAAGACAGAGTGATTTATGGTGTAGCCCCACTACCTCTCTGTTTCCAAGTGTTCTGGCTTGTGATTTAAGTTTGATCTCTAAATAGAGGGTTCCTGCTACAGTGCCACTAAGGAAGCTAATTACCTTAAAAGTTGGATAGTCAGGAGGTTTAATATTTTATCTGATTGAAATTTTGCTGGTAAATTACCCAGAAGCCTACATTTGAAGAACCACTATAATCTCTCCAAAGTCAGGAGCTGTATTGACTGCTTTTCCCACTTATCCATATGTGGAACTTAATGACTTACATTCACATATTAACTAGCTTTTTCCACCATAATCCAAATTTGGGTAGCTGCTCTAAGCTGTGTGTTTTCCCCCTCCTCTTCCTACCCATAATGCTTACCTCCATGAGTTCAGCATCTCCGCTTTCTAGAAAAGGAGTTAGGTGGAAGGGGATAAAAAGGAGTTAGTTGTCTTTTCCCACATCTCAGTGGAATTCTAATTAAAAAAAAATTTTTTTTTTTCTTGATTTGGAATCCTGGTTAAGGAACTTGCTAGATTTTTGTTGTTTTTGTTACACTGGATAGTAAAGCAAGTGTAACTTGGGTAATTGAATTTGCAGCTAATTACTACATTATATTTTAGTGACTAGGTTTTACATTCTTTGCTGACTTAAATTTCTATTTTCTTATTGTTCCAACCTCCAGTTCTGACCAAAAGAATGAGTGTTTAAAAGAGTCAAGAGATAAGGAGGGTCAGGACCCTTTCATGATTCAGATGATCCAGAAACTGGATTGAGCAATTTATGCGTTATCAATAGAGCTGAATGTAGCTTTGATTGTGTGTTCACTCACATGCTCATATACACAAATAAAACTTATGAGAGCAGAATTTATATAGTAGTTTAATTTCCAGTCTTTTAATTAAACCCGCTGTGTGTTCCATCTATTCTAGCTGAAGACTTCTGTTTCTTCCTGATGTAGTAGTTAAATGATGTTTACTAACAATTTGATTCACTGACTTAAATTTCTCCTTGAAATCATGGAGCCGTTAGGATCCTTTTCCCTTTGATGAAGAGGAAATCAAGTCAGCTAATTCATAACTCAGTAATATAAGCCAGTGTTTGGACAGACTCTGATTCTTCCTCTTTTCTAAGTCTCATATTCTTTCTCTCCAGGAAAGACACAGATGAAGCAGACCTGGTTCTTGCAAAAGAAGCCAATGTTAAATGTCCACAAATTGTGATAGCATTTTATGAAGAGAGACTGACGTGGCATGCATATCCTGAGGATGCGGAAAACAAAGAGAAAGAAACAGCAAAGAGTTAAAGGAGGGGGTGGTCTCTGTCATTTCTCTTTGTACATAATACATTCAGCTCCCTGCCTCCTCTCCTTTCTACCCATCCCCTTCTATCCTAAACACATCCATAAAAAATGTGCTTATCACTGTGCTCCACAGGAGAAATGTTGGTATTGGTTCTCTTGTAGCATAACTGATGGTCTGATTCATGATAAGTGTCTCTCTGTGAAGACCAGGCATTTACATACTGTGTGTAATTCCCAGCATTTTTTCCTTTGCCCTACTCTCTTCCCTCTGCTCCCCTGTGACCTCAAGATTAATTTTAACTTTTTAATCACCTTAGAGTCTTGATCTTTTCAGGGTTGGTTGCTTTTTAGGTGGGGGATTTTGTTATAATGATGTTGAATTTTGGTTTCGTGCTTTGGTTCTTAGAACATGTTGATGACCAGCTAGCCTTTGTTTTGAGATGTTGGGATGGAAAAGATGTTGCCCGTCTTTTTAAAAAGCCAATAGCAACTGCCTACCTGTTGGGGCTTTCCCAACCTCATTCAGCTCTACCCAGGAGAATACAGGGTTCCTGATGTGGTCTTCTGGGCCACCCTGTGCCGTTCGTCCTCACCATCCTCCCAGAAGAGTGGCATCCTTTGGAGGGCTTGAAATTTTACCTTCAGATTTGTCAAGGCATTCCTTCTACCCCCAGGACTTTTGGCCTTATTTCTTAGCAATCCCTGATTCGGCTTCTGCAAGTTGGTGAAGTCTGTTAGAAAATGACAAGATTATTAACTGGAAATTTGTAGCTACTAGTACATGAGGATGATGGGGTAGGATACAGTTGTCTTTACTATCGCATTTGGCATGTATGTGTGATTTCCTTCCATCTCTCCCATTTGGATTATATATTTACATAGGTGTGAGTGACTGCCTGGTGCTTGTGCCAAGGTGCTAAGCACCCTCCAACCCTGCCAGTTTTTGTGGCCTCCCAAAGCAGTCGTGTTACCAAAGAGGCTTCAGACTTCTCAGTGGACCCCACTTTCCCCTCCACGCCATTATTTTCAGTGGGGAATTCTTGGAGGGGAGCCACTGGCCACAGTATCAATTTTAAATATTCATAGCATTTATAATCATAAATTCCTTGCTTTGTTGACTCTGGATTTGCCACCAAGAGTTCCCAAAGTGTTACTTCCCTTCCGTTTTTCCACCCTAAAACTCTTAGTTGGATCTTTTTTTTTTTTTTTTTTTAGTTTCTGTGGAAGACTATCAACCTCTGAGAATGACAGGCCCCAGCATTAGCATGTTGATACAGCCTCTCCCCAACTCAGCAAAGTATTTCTTTTTTGGCTTCTTCCTGCTTTGCCATTATGTTGAGAGATTATTTTTCTGACTATTGCCTTCAGCCTTTGTTCCCCAAGAAACACCCTACTTCTCTTTTCCCTTTTTTTCTTGTAGTTAAAGGGGGCTAGAGAATCAAGACTAAAAGTAAGGAAATAGCAGGGTTTTGAACATCCTTGTCCCAGCCTGAAGCTGAGGAAATAAGAATAAATGCTTGAAATAGCCTTAACTCTAGAGTTCACCAGCCATTGAGGTTGTTTTTGTGGTTGGTTTTGATTTTTAAAACATATAGCTGTCTGGCCAGGAGCATTCAACCATCTCTAGATTTTTCAGAGTAATGAGGGGAAAGGAGAGATTGATCCAGTTCACAGATGAGCCAAATAATATGCAAATCATATACCCATTCATAGCATTTGTTAACATTGCTTCCCTGCTCAGCTGCTGATTGAATTCTGTGTGCTTGTATAAATTATGTCAAAGATTATACTGCACAGTTGAGAAGACAGCTGTTGCTGCAGTGACATGACAGACTGGAACAATGAAGCTTTTGGTTTTAGCCATCCAAGAAAATCCTTCTGAATGGTAATGTGATTGGGTGAGAACTCATAACCCACACCTCACATGGGTAGGAGTTTAATCTCTGTCTTCCCTAACTAAAGGAATTAGAGGCCTAGATCAAGGGCTGGATAATTGACAGCTGTTAGTACTTAATCTGATGGGCATCTGAAAGAAAGGATGGTCAGAAAAGAGGTTTTTCATGCGAGTAACTAAGGATATCAATTAGGATGTGCTAGAACAGGACAAGAGTAGGCCAGAGCTGCTGAGGAGATGATCCGGGTCTCTCAATTTGCAGGTGGAGAAAATGACAGCTCATCCATGTAGCTAGTGTGTGTCTCCCAGGAGGAGTGGGCATGTAAACAGTACAGTGACCACGTTTTTAGAGCGCAAATCTAGGCCATGGACAAAAAAAAAACAGCCGAATTATTTGGTGCTGAGATTGGTCTTGAGAAACCTGGGACACATGGTTGCCAGAGTTATGGGTGATGTTTAAGACATTCATCAAAATCTGGTTTCTTTCAACAAAAAACCCCCAGTATTGTCTTCTGTTCATCACTGCTTTAATACTTTAGTTTTCACTCCATTCATCTTTTTCTGTCCACAGTTATTGAAATCAAGGTCTTATACTGTGTGCTGCCCAAACAACTTGTTCTCTCCAGCCAGTTCTGTAGGAATAGAGGGAGCCAGCGCCAGTACTCATCCCAGCCCTTCAGAAGTAAGGAAACTAGACGCCTGCCTGTACCTCCAGCATTTGATTGTGTCAAGTAGCTGTCCAGGCCCTTGGAGAACTGCAGCCTGAACAGAAACCTGCTTTCCTCGGGCTTTCTCCTCTCAGAACAGTTAGTAGCCCTGAGCTAAGCACTCTTAAATACCTAAGTCTCAGGGGCTTAAAGTCTGTTTTTCCTGTGTTAGTCCTCTTTCAAAACATCTTACTAATGCTGAGTTTCTTGTAATCAGCATTCAAGGATTTCTCCTGCCACAGAATGTGGCAGAGCTGTGAGCAGCAGAGTCTACCAAGTCAGCATGGCTGCTTCTCTGAGCCCTGGGCTGGACAGAAGCCCTCACGTTAAGATCAGCTGTTAGAGAATGTCAGCCCTGATGGAAGCACCCGTTTTTAACCTGGAGAGGGCTATATCATTTTTCCTTCTGCAGTCCAGTTTTCCTCTGCTCAAGGGAGCATTTGGATCTGTGGTATTCTAACACTCGAAAGTTTAGATGGTTCTTGGCAGTCCCTCAGCCATATATCTGTACTACTTTTTATTGTTGAAGAAAAGCTGGTCTTGTTCTTGGGCAGTTTTCAATTATTCTTAACTCTTTGTTCCTGTGCTGTAGCCTTCCTGCAGTTCAATTTCCTTATCTTTAGGCCAAATCCTGGGGCCTGGGGGAAGGTGCTTGTGATTTTCATCTTGTGATTTGGTTGGATCTATTTTTAGCCCAGCTTACCTAAGGTGCAGAGGGGTCAGAGGGATCCATGTTTGGGCCAGCGAGTGATTGTCTTTGCCCTTAGGGTTTGAATTCTGGGGCCTAAAATAAGATCGCGGTGACACAAGAACCTCAGGAAGGGTTATGTCATTGGATTTGAGATGTGGAAATGGTTTCTTACAAACGAGGTAAAAAAACAGCTCATTTAGCACCCGTAACTCCATCCTTTTGGTTTAGGTTTTTAGAGTGAAGGTTAAGAGTGCTGAGGTGTGTACTGTTGTAACTAGACCACCAAGCAAGCATACTTGTCAGGGCAGAGAGAGGAAAGGTCTAAACCCAGTGTATTTATTCATTTTGGCTCTACCACTCATCATAAAAGTTACATTTTTCAAAAACAGAGGTGTTACCTGGCTTGCCCCTAAAAGCATATGCGCAGAATTGGGGTCCCCACCTGCCCAGTTAGTCACTGGATTTGTATTGAGCTATCCAGTTCCTGTCACATTAGTGTACATCAGCATTTACTTCATTCAATGGACAGTTTTTTGGCCCTGGGGATGCAAAGTTCAAAAAGATGCAGTCCCTGACCTCAAAGAATTTTCATACCGTTGCATAGTGTAATAAATGTTATAAATGGGCACATATTTTATATTTGGGGGCAGAGACCACTGGTTGGTGTAGTTTGTGGTTCTAGAGTAGTAGGGTGATGGTTAGGTTCGTGTGTAGAAAAGATCTGTGACCTTGGATGAACCAAGGTAACTGGCCATAGATGAACTGCAAGGGTTTGTTTTAGCCCAAAAAGTAAAGATAACAGGTTTAGTTAGAAATGCTACTCCTGAGAGAGAACAACAGGTTAAGTGGGGGTTGAGAACCCCTGGGTTTGGTCCCTAGGTTCTTTGCCGAAGTATTTATTAGTATAGTTAATCCTTACTTGTGGAAAGCATCAACTGTGTTGCAGAGCCAGTTTTGTGTTGTTACTTCATCGTAGATTCTATAAAATGTATTCCTTGCAGATCAAGAGTTGCTCACACCCTTTTCAGTTTCTCATCCTTTTTGAAGGAATTAACATGAGGCTGACTTGGAGCTTAAAACAGGGACATACTTTCCAGTGACAAAAGATGTGCTGAAAAGAAGGCTTGGGCCCATCTGATGACACCTGGGCCTCTGTTCTGGACAGTGTAGTTTTATTTCACGCTGCAAGATGGTGATATCTAAGGAGATATTTGCGTCAGTTATGCAGAAGCCTCCCAGAAATACATGTGACCTGGAGTTTTGGACTTAATCTGTCTGGGGAGGTCCAGGGTGAGGCCGAGCCATGCTAAGAAAGCCATGCTAAGAAACAGTCTGACCTTAAGCAATGTCCTAGTTCTGACCATGTGACCACAGGAAAAATGATACTTTTCTCTGCCTGCATAATTGAGAGTTGGATTAATTGAAAGTTGACTTAAAGGTGAAGGTTCTTTGGATAGCTTCATAAAGATTCTAGTTTCTTTTTGCTTGCGCTGAATTTCTTGAATTTTAAACTACCTCATCTTTTTAGAGTTTCTTCAGTTTGTCTTTGCCACTTTAACATCGTGCTTTACTGACTGTTTTCTCAGATAGAATATTTCCTCTTTGTTGAGAGCATGTTTTCTAGCCTTCTGTTCTGATCCTCATTTCACCTAACATTTCATGTTGCTCCTCTGTCAGAGAGATGTTTTAAGATAGTTTAAAATCTTGGTTCATTGGAATAAAGTGATCCTCCTGCTATTTGTCTCTGAGGTCAGTAAGAGAAGGAGTTAAAACAAGGTGGTAGGGGAGGAGACAGACCCTGCACTGGAGGCAGCCAACAAGGGAAGAGCCATTAATTAAGACAATTTCAAAGTCAACTGATTGTGATCATTAATGTCACAATAGATCAAAACCTAATTATCACAGCCTAGGTAAGAGCCATCAGTATTAATCAGAAAATCTAATAGGAAACTATTATCAAGAAATTAGGCTAAATTGAATGCAATGAACTTTTTATCTTGTCATTCTCTCTCCTCTCCTTTTTCTCTTTTTCTTTTTTAATTTGGTGATGTCCCCTGGCATTGATAAGTGTGACCCTCACAGTTGACCCAGGACCCAATGGCCAGTTTGTCATGCTTTTTGAAGAATTCTAATGCAGACTGACCCTGAACTGTCACTGCTGCTTTAATCAGTCTTGAACTTTCTCATCACCTGGACTTACCCAGTGTGATCAGCAATCAATGAAAAAAGGTTTATATTTAGGTCTTGAAGTGGTTGGTCCTTCCTGGAACTAGAGTATCCCTGGTGAACGTGATACTGTGTGTGTTAACTCACTGTTTGAGCTTCTGATGTACGTAGGATCCTATTGCTTTGGCTACTGCAAGTATGGAGGAAAGGAGGTGCTTCCTGCCTGGAGGTTCTTCAAAAAGACTTTAGAAGATGTCGAGTGTCATCATATCACGGCACTTTTAAAGGTTCAAGTCAGTGTTTTGCAGTTTCCAGTAGCTTACAATTTGATTCTAAACCAGTACTGGCTGTGGGTTTAGTTTAGTTTATCCCCTAGTTTTAGGATAACAGTCAGTGATTTCTACCAGAATCCAGTATAAATCCAAAGGGGGTGGGGATATGTTTTTCTTTTGCCTTTTGTTAAAGATTTAGGCCTCTGGCAGGAGGTAGGAATATTACAAGAGTCTCTGACTAGTTAATAGAGATCACTTCATACCACTTCGTACCCTCTCCCTAAATGGAAAAATAAGTGTCACCATCTGTCTCCTTCATCTTGAACTGATGTGAAGATACCACAACTCCTGAGGTTGAGCTGAGGCAGAAAGGGTGGAAAGCTGCCACCCCTGGGTGTCATGGGGGAAGGACGAGTGGCAGCAGCTGGTTGGTGCCAAGGTTCCCAGGGGAGCCTGTAGAGAAAGTTGCCACTGCTGTTGGTGGCCTTTCCCCACCAGCGTGGAGCTCAGAGCACTCCCCACTGCCGCTGAGGAAGTGGTTCTTGGCTTTCTGCTTGAGCGTGGTCTCGCTTCATTCTGAATTTCAGGGTTTGGGTTACTCAGTATAGAACTATGAGAAGTCAGTGTGACTTAGTCCTTCACATCTTATGATAAACTGAGTATTTCTTTATAAAAGAATTCATGCCCTTAATGTTTAAAGTGTAACTTTATTTTCAAAACGCCCATTAACGCATGACTTTCGGAAGTAGGTTGTTCCTTCTCCAAGACTCCTTGTGTTATGCTGGATAAATAATAGGCCATCAGTTAATACTTGAGGGTTGATTAAGTTCATCTGGTTTGCAGAGTGAGATGTGCCTACCGACTTCTTTTGCTCTCAAGTGCACTCTGAGAAAAATGCTCCAGGGTGTGGAACAAGAATTGAGTGGATTTTGACTGTGTGCCAAGCTCCTCCACTGATTCATAATGGCTGACCTTGGGCAAGTCACTCCTTTCAATGCCTCAGTTCCCCATCTGTCAAATGGGGGTAATAATACTGACCTACCTCACAGGGGTGTCGTGAGGCATTGTAAATCATAGCTGACAGAATACTTAAGGGTCCTCGATGGAGGATGCCTTGAGCCGAAGTCTAGGTTTTTGTCCTCACTGAGTTGTCCCAAGGCTGGAACTACTTAGTGACCTCGGCAAGTTCTCTGCCCCCCACCCCTCATCAAAGCTGCTAGTTCAGATGTTGACAGTGTTTTCATGAATGAGTCTTCATAGTTCAGACTTAACTTAGGATGTTACGGGGCACGGCACTCAGTATTTCTGTCTTGCATCCACAAAAAGAAGCTGTTTGAGACCTGAGAGCATTGGATTAAGGAGTCGGGTGCTGCTGCTTGTTTCTCTGCAGGTTGGGAGTTAAGGCTTGGAACATACTGGAGCTGTCTCAGGAGCGAAGTACACACCGTGGGCGTGCTTTATGTTCTCACTCCCTGAACTGATCCCAGGATATCTGGGTCACCACCTCTTCTAGACACCTGTCCTCCAGCCTCCGCCTCCTCATAGGAACCAGCTGGTTCAGTAAACGTAACTGCTTCCTCCATCCCCCACCAAACAAAGAGCCACAGTAGAAGTTTTTTTTTCTGGGGACATGATTAACACTCAGAATTGGGCATTGATACTCCTGAGAGCTTCAGCCAGTTCACTGTTTTCAGCATCTGTCATCTCTTTCTCAGTGTCCACAGTCTGAACCTGACTGACCTTTTTTCCTTCTGGTTCGGGAAAACTTTCGGACACTATCTGCCCAGGTGTGGACTCAAGAGCCTTACTCTCCGTCTCAGTCTAGGGGCTCAGCCGGCTCCTGTTCTTCCCAGTAGGGCTCTTTCTCTCCCTCTCCTTGGCCCTAGATGTGTAACCCACGAGAAAGCACAAGGTCCTGGCCCCTCGCCGCAGTCACATTCCAGTTCTTGGTGTTTCGTGGACTCCTGTTCACCGCGCCAGCAGCACCAGGCGGTTCTGGGGAGGCCTGGAGGATGGAGAGAGCACCGCCTGCCATCCTGCCAAGTAGTCAGGAGCTGATTTGCCCGCAGCCCACAGGCCTTCCCACCCCTTCCCACAGGATGGGCTCCGAGAGACTTCAGGAGCTGGGTTTCTTCAAGCACTCAGTACCATCCTGAGCAGCAAAACAAATCACACTTTGTAGCCAGATTTCTGAATGGAAAAATGGGAAATTGAGTTCTCTATGGACCTTTTTTGATTTGTGGGGGAGTTTTGGTTGTGTTTCTTGGTTATATTTCAGCCAAACATGTCTGCTTTTGATTTTTTTTTTTTTTTAGGATAAGTGATATATATATATGTTCGCCTTTTAAATGTAAATGTTTCAAAGTAGGCAATTTACGTGTTTCCACACCTGACATCTGATGCAGACCTCATTCTCTCCCCTCTTCCGTCCACCCCCTTTCCCTCTTTTCATACTCTTGTATTGGTTCTAATAAATGGTTGCTTTTCAAGTACGGATCCAGAGTGGTGGTTTGAAGATATGGGTCTTACCCTCCCTCCTTAATTTGGTCTCAAACGTCAGCCAGTAGCAGCACATGGGTTTCTGAAAGAGCTGGGAGAAAAGGGCTTTTTTCTAAGCATTCTTGGTCTCTGACTTTCTGCAAACAACCACAGGGTGGCAGGGGCTGCGGGAATGAGAGAATGTACCCTGTTCCTTCCTTCCCTTAACCCCTTCAGATTCCGTGCCTTCCTTCTGAGTAGAGCTCCTGTCTGCTCCAAATGACTGGAAGAATAAACATTAACCTTTAGGGACCCTAGAAAAGTCAGCTCCTAGTTCCTGAATTTGTGGAAAACCACATGGACAAACAGGTTTGAAAATCCCAATACATGTGAGTTTATAAATATGATCTTTTTGATTTGCTTCACAAATACCAAAGGAATTGAGCATCCAATGATTGTGGGGCATGGTGGGGGCTGGGGGGCAATTGGAAGTTGGATTAGAAAGAAAACAGATAATTAAGCATTTGCTGGGTAATGTAAGCCTGTCGCAGTTCTGAATCTCATAGGAACATGGGCAGAACCTCAGGGGCGAGAAGTGAAGACAGAGGGATGCCAGAACCCAGACATCCTCCCACTGAGAGGCGCCTCCTCTCCTTTTCCACCATCTCTTATCTGCAATTCTCCCTCCTGTTTTCCCTTCTTGCTGCTGAGTTATAGGGTCTCCCCAGTCTAATCTCGTAAAGTCTTATGAAGACATCTGTAGGTTGGCTGGTTTAATGGTCCATGACCTCATAAACATGGGACAGGAGAGCCATTTGGTCCACTTCAGAGCCAGACCCTTCTGGACATTATTTATTTCCTACCTCTGAAGCTGGGGACTGCTTGCCCCCTTCCCTTTCCATCTCTTTCTAGTTCTCTCACCATCACGCCACTTTATTTCTGCCTTGGGCCCGTCAGGAAGCACGATTCTGGAGTTTTGACACTCGCTCCCACTCCTAAACAGCCGTGTCTTGGTTTTGTTTCCCTCCGGTGTGTCGGAGTATGCCTGCCCGGCACTCAGCGAAGCTCTCCGCCGCTCATCACTCTTCTCCCGGGAACCCTGGCCCTCAGCATGCCGGATGAGGTTTTGGCCGGCCTGCCAGGCATGCCTCCCCCTTTGTCTCCACTGAAGGGCTGCGGAGCTCGCAAAATCAATGCAGGCCCCCCGACAGCCTGGGGGAGATGGAGGGCCGCCGCGTGGGAGTCTGTGCTTAGCTGGATGGCTTGAGTGCATAGCTTGAAATCGCCCTGTTAAGAGGAAGCAGCCCCCCAGGCAGCCTCCCGCTTTTGGAAGGAAGTGAGAGGGGGGCCCCAGAGCCCCCGTGCTGGGAGTTGCTGCACCAGAGTGTGTGCAGAACACAGTCCGTTAACAGCCTGTGGATAGGCCAAGAGGCTCTCCAGGCCTGGCGTGTGACCCATGGTGGTGGGTGGGGGACAGATAAGGCAAAGCCTGTCCAACTGGTGTGTGAGCACTCCACGTGGGCACAGTATGGAGGGTAAAGGGGGAGGGAGAACCCACATAGACTCGCCTGCATAAAGTTGTGAACCTGGTGAAGACACGAATGCAAGGTCTGGTTGTTTCCTCCTCCCAGGGTTCTCCTGCTCCCCCAGCCCCCTCGGCAGCTGTAACATCTTGCTTTCCAGGTGCCAGTTCCCTCCTCTCGCAGCTTCTGTCTTTATTTGTGCCTCGGTGTTTTTTATGGTTTCTCCCTTTTGTCTACTCCATCGTGTGTGTTTTTCTCTTTCTTTGTCTTTTTTTTTTCTTCTCATTTCTGGTCTCTACCCCCCCATGTTCTCTCCACCCCCTTCAAAGTCCATAAGCAGCCTCAATTTGGACATTTAATTTCAACCCCATCAAATTATTATCTTTCTTGCAACAACCTGGGACTCTTTATGAGCTCTTTCTACCCCCGCCACTGCTGGAAACAGGTGCATCTCTTTCTCTGTATAATGTGGTGCCCCCCACTCCCTCCCACCCCCCAGACTGGGAGAGGCGATGCGGGCTCAGCGGCCTCATGCCTCCTCTCAGCAAAGCCTTGTGCAATCATTTGGTTATGAGCCAAGGAGAGAGAAAGAGCTGCTGAGAATTGAGCTTGCTGATAAATATGGGGGCTGCTGAGATGAAAAGGTTTGGGGTTATTATTGCACCCTTTCCTCTCTCCCCCTCCACCCCTCCCTCCTGCTGCTGCTCTCTTCTGGGGAAGGAAGCTGGTGAGGAGCGGAGGCACTGGCCACAGCTGCTGCAGCTTATGAAATTCTGCTTCTCCATCTGCAGCAAGGGTGGGGGCGGGGCAGATGAGGTCTGCCAGGAGAGGGAGGGGCGGGCAGGGATGCTGAACCCCCTGCCTGGGCTGTGCAGGAATGTCATGGACCACTCCTGCTACTTCCAAGACCATGCAGCACCTCTTCTCGAAGCCTGTTTCTGCATTACTTCTCAGCCCCAACTGTAACCTGCTGCTGCTTTCCATTTCAACTCTCCCGGCAAGAACCGGGAGAGTCAGCTCCCAGAGACCTGGAGCTGACCAGGCTCTGGCATCTGTCACAGCCCCCCTGCCTCTAATCCCTGTCTCACTTCTCCACTCCAGTCTGCACCTAGAGCTGGGAGCTGGAGGGGATGGAGCTGCCACTTTGATCCTGGGTGAGAGCAGGGGCTGTCTGTTCCTCAAAGGTGTTGTTGGGGAGGATGCAGGCACGTCCACTCCTGGACTAGGACACAGGATCTCTCCACGTGTTCACCCTTCCTGCCTCTCCTCCACCACCTGACCCCCTGACTTTTTCTCCTGTTTGTCACCTGCTGTCACTTTCTGCTTTTCCCTTTTAAAATCATTAAAAAAATTTTTCCCCTTTTTTTCTCTCCTTGTTCTTTTATTTTCATGTTACTAAGAGTAGACAGTAAGAGGCCTTGAGCGAAGGGGTTGAGAGAAAATGAAAAGTATGTTTTTTCCCCCACTTCTCCTTTGGAGGAATGGGGAAGAGTATCACCCGTTTTCCTTTTTCTGGGGATTGGAGCATCTCTCTACCCTCAGCCCTTCTGATTTTCTCAGCAATGATGTCTAAAACAAGGATTCTTAACCTTGAAAAACCATTTCTATTTTTATTAGTTTCTTTATGATTTTGTAGGGGAGAAAAAACCTTGCCATCCCTACAAAGTCAATTCATTGTGTGATATTTTTCTGTGAGAATTTTTAAGATAATAACTTCTGAGAATTTCATAACCCTCCTTGAGATGACTGGAGTCTTGGGTGTTGTAACCAGGCTGGAAAACACTGATCTTTAGTGTCCAGCTAAGCCAATTGGATACTTACTTCTGTATGAATTTGTTGCAGCCTTTCATCATGGGAGTAAAAACTTTCTTCATGGGGGACTCCTGTTGCCCCATTCATCAGTTTAGGGGATCAAGGGCAAGTCAAAACAGTTCTCAAATTCCCGCCCTCACCCCAAAAGGCCAGCCCAGCCTGCCTTGTAGAGGGAGGTGAGGGACTGTCATCTGACCTCTCATCCCCTCCCTTTATTTCACCCCATTGAAATAAATGGGGTTTTTCACTCATTGCAGATCTGAGGGTTTGGATCAGAGGTTTCTGGTTAGGATTAAGGAGCTGGGTTAGGCAGGATTGGGGAAGAACTTGCAAGCTTGGATTGGAGGAGGTGGAGCAGGGGAGGGAGGGAGGGAGAGAAAAGGGGGTACAAGGATGTCCCTGTGAAAGACTGGGAGACCAGAATTAAAGGAGGAAGGATGGGAGGAAAGGAGGCTTGGAAAACCATGACGTGCTGGGGGCATGTGCGCATGCGCGCGTGCCGTACCACAGGTAGGAGGAACGAGAACGCTCACCGCGGAGCCCGCAAGGCCCTTCAAGACTGAACCCTCTGCGTCCAGGCATAATATATTCTCCTTCACCCGATGCAGAGGGCTGGAACTTTACTTCTGAAGAGCTCTGGGCAGTGAATCAATGTAGTGTTTACCCTCATGTGTCCTGAGTTAGAATCATCTTTGCTGTGGACTGGATGACCACCCAGAAAATCTAGAAACTGTTCTAAACTTGTAACGCCCTTCTGCATCCTGAATAACTTCATTTTCCCCACCCTGGTGTAGGAGGTGGAGTGCCTGAAATCCTGATATGTCTTCCTTCAATGCCCAATTTTGCTTCCAGCATCCCAGGAAGCGTCTGAGAGGAGTGTGTTGGGTGCGGTGGGGTGGCTGTACTGGGGTCCCATTGACTGAAGGCAAGGGTCTGCTAATGTGCATTAGTGATTTCTCAGAACAAAATAGTTGTTGCTATCCCCCCAAAATGGATCAGGCAAACGGCTCCCCTTTTGCCACCACGGAAACGGCAGGTCTGTGTGTGTATGAGAGTTGAAGGGGTGTGTTAATTTGAGTATAATCAATCCTGAATATTCATTGGCAGGACTGATGCTGAAGCTGAAGCCCCAATACTTTAGCCACCTGATGCGAAGAACTGACTCATTGGAAAAGACCCTGAAACTGGGAAAGACTGAAGGCAGGAGGAGAAGTGGATGACAGAGGATGAGATGGTTGGATGGCATCACTGACTCAATGGACATGAGTCCAGGAGGTGGTGATGGACAGGGAAGCCTGCTGTGCTGCAGTCCATGGGATCACAAAGAGTCAGACACGACTGAGCGACAGAACAACAATTCTGAATATATGTTTTTGCTCATTTGAATATGTTAAATTCCATGGAGTCCCAGTCGAGTCACTCTAATGGAGGGAATGCAATGACCTAGGTAATTCAGGGAGAAGATCATCCCCAAACCCTTTATGAATATGGTTGAGAGGTGCTTTGAACTGTGCTCAGGACAGGCTCTGGAAGACGCCTTGTGGGCCTAGGGGAGGAAGTCATTAATGGTGGCAAAGGAAAGCTGCTCAGAGCTCTGTACCAGGACAGCCATACAGATCAGAAGCAGAAAATTGCAGGCACTGTGTCTACTCAGGTGGAAAGGCGGAGAGGCCAGAGAG